CAAAGGTTCTTCAATGAAAATACAATATTAATAAAAAATAAATACTTTCAAAATAAAAATCATTTGTAATTATTTATAATATAAAGTAGGAGTCAATACAAAATTATTAAAACAAATGTATAAATATGGACCAAAATAAAGGTAACAGAAAAATAGTTGATTTGTAAACTACTGGAATGGCAGATGTTTCCTCGTCTTTACCTCTGTCAGAATATTTTATTGGAGGGGGAGAGATTGTATAAAGAGAGTAAGATAACAGTAAAGCCAATTCATCAGTGCAATTGGAAGGTAAGACGTTGAAAGCAATGAACAACATAGCCTCAAGTACATGTAATACTATAGTCGAAGATAAGTGTTTCACAGGTTGTGGCTTTCATATAACACCACAAGCAGAAAGGCTTGGAAAGGATGTATAAAGTAGAAAACATACTGAAAAACTGTCTGCTGAAGTTATTTTTCTTGACCTTGGGTCAATCCATGTGTTAAGCAGGATAACACTGGGGAAAGGATATGATCTGGCTCCTTCTGGCCACTAACCACCTATTTGCAAAAGACATGGAATAGAGAGTCCTGGGTGTGATTTGGAATACCTGAATTCTTCAGCTCTGCAGGTCCATGTTTTAAAATTTTAAAAACCACTTAACATGAAAATTTTCCAAAATTTACCTTTTAGAAGGACAAAATTGAATTTATGTAATCTTGCTTTTCATGTCCTAGTATTATCATCATAATACTGATTACTATGTCATCTATAGAGTCCGCTGGAGGTGTTTATGGCTTTTTTCCTCTATACTTTTGCATGCAGGATGACTTCTTAAAAAGTTTAATTTTTATACCTCTTTCTTCTGTTTAAAGAACATGGCATGAGGCCACACACTAGTCTAAGAATAAAACAGGATTTTTAGTACAGAGACTGAAACATTAGATTTTTATCTTCCTGTTCCTCATCCATAGTTCAGAGAAATGCAGGAGCTAGGTAACCTACATTACACACAGCTAGCTGTGGGATCATCACTAGATGAGATGATCTGGTGATTGCTTCCTAGCGTAATGTCACTATTTTTCTCATCTTTAGTTACCTCTGGTCATCAGCTCCATTTTGATTGCTGTTCAAGACAATTCTCCAAAGATCTGAAGATACCAGTTTCTTTTGGTCATTCACAAGATTGACATCTGGTAACTGCAGTCCGCAAACTTTGCTTTCAGATAGACTGAATTCACGAAAAGCCACAAAACTTTTCTGGATTTCATCCCAGTACTCCAAACTACAAGGAACCTATGTTAAAATAAAGAAAAATCAAGATATTATTATGTACATGTAACAATACCCTACAATAAATATATTTATTATATACCAGAAACATGTGGATTAAAAATACAAAAAAAAATTTAGATGTTATAAACAGAACCTGTGCTTCTGGATTTATTGAAATTCAACCTAGAACTTCAGGAAAGGAATACAAAATTACAAAAGACAGTGGTTTAGGATTTCTATTCATAGTTATATTCACCTTGTTTATTTTTAAAGGCCCATTCAAAAAAAAAAAAAAGAAAATAGCTAATTTTTTACAGTAGAAGAAAAATAATAGGAACAAATTCCTCAAGGTGTTAGATGGATTATAAATCTATAGTAAGGGGCCCGGGGAGATAGCTCAGTAGAAGAAGTGGTTGCCTGGCAAGCACAGGATCCTGAGTTCAATCCCTGGTACCACAAAAAACAACAACAAAAATCTATAGTAAGTAGAAGATACAGACGGAGTAGTAATATACAAATAAAAGAGAATAAAAATTAAGAGAGATAAATGAAATGTTACTATATATTGAAGGCTCCATTTTAAACAAATTGAGGAAAGATGGAAAATGAGGTTGCAGGAGCTAGCTAGTTATTTGACAAAAACCAAAGCAGGTCACTACATATCATTTTTAACATAAAAGTAAATTCCGAAACAATCAAAATGGTAAAGGATAAAAAGATAAACTGTAAAAGGAAAAATATCCGTCAATATTTTTTTATTTTGAAATAGGATAGTATTTATTTGTATGCAATAAAATTCATAAATGGGGAAAAAACAACAAGCAAAATTCAAATAAAGAAAAGAACAAGAAATGTACTAGTCAATTGTCAAGCTTCCTGATCTTCAACTATGCCAAGTATTGATTGTATGTGTAATGCTGTCCTCAGCCTTTCTGGATTACCCTTATGCAATATGGGGGCAAAGAGAAACAACATAAACATGATTCTCATGCTGCTTGCTGTGCTGCAAACAATAAGTTTTTTTTTTTTTTTTCTCTCTCTTTTTTTTTTTTGAGACAGAGTCTTGGTACATAGTGCAGGCTGGCCTTGAACTTGCTTATGTAGCCCATGCCTCCTGCCTCAGTCTTCCAAGCAGTGGGATTATAGAAGCGTCTCACCATTCTGGCTATTAAAGTTCTCTTTTATGACCCAGTCTTATATCTCTTGGTAGCATCCATGAAATACTAAAAATAGCATATGAAGAGTAAATTCCTAGACCTGACAATAACCAACTCACAGATAAAAGATAATTAGTCAGTAGACACAAAAAGATACCCTACTAGTACTCAAAGAAATTAAGGCAATAATATAATTTTTATATATTAATCTGGCAATCTAAGATCAATGGTTCTAATTTGTGTACAGTATGGTAAAAATAATCCATACACAATATTTTGTTAGAGTAATTTACCAGAAAGTATGTTTCTAAGAACTTATCTTAATGAAATTCCAATGCGAGTGTTTTTGTTTATATATGAAATACATATATATGTGTGCTATATATACTGCATGTTTTGTGTGTACATTTACTTCAGTAATGTATAAGACAAGTTGAAAAATGCAAATTTCTATCTATTGATTAGTTTCAGATCTACAGAACAGATTGCTATACAACATTAAAAGAAATAAAGAGTATTTACATATGCTAATGTAAGACACTAGGATATAGCA